TTTGACAAAAAATGAACATAGAATGACCCATTTTCAAAACATTCTCCTTTTATGAAAAATGCTTCTACTATAATAATATTTTACCTGTGTATAGCTTTGACCTCTCTACAGAAGCTCAACTAGAATTTTTGAAATATATAACTTAGAAGTGGATTTATTCATATTTTACTATAACAGAGGGGAGAAATTTTAAGAAAAAAACGCCGATAATTATTTCAATTGGTGGTGGTGGTGGGGGTAACTTTGAAAATACAGTAAGGCCCCGCTTAACGCTGTTTCGGTTTAACGCTCTTTTATTTGAATTGTGGGATTCCCCGAAATTAGAGACAGCGGTAGGCTTCCCGATATCCGAAGCAGTTTATCTGTGTTTCATCTTTCCAGCGGTCTTATACGAACGTATTTTTATCGTTTCCAACATTTGTTAACGTTATTGTAAGTACAAATTTATGTAATATAACGATTGCTATAGTGACAAATATTACGATTTTTAGTTTTTATCATGGGTGATAATACAAAACACGAAAATAAAGCAGCAAGAAAAATCAGGAGCAAATTTTGACAGGAGTTCAAAGGCAAGACGGGGCGTTACGGGTGCCTCCACTTACCAACAACTTCTTACAGAGTGCAAGAGGAAAACGCAAATTACAATAGATGTCTTCTTGATAAAAAGGCAGAAAATTGGAAATACAGAAGACACTGTATGATCTGAAATGTAAACATACTGACTATTATAGTTTTTTTTTATTTTTATATGTTTATTCATTTATTATATTTCTATATTTGTAAGAAATACATTTTTGTTTTATTGTTATGAAACACATAATTAATAAATTTAATGGTAAAATACATGGGCAATTTTCTACCCATCTTCCCCTAATCCCATTATTTACATGATGAGATAACCTCGTTTAACGCTGTTTCATATTACGCTCTACTTTGATGGAATGTATGCCCCGCGTTAAGCAGGGTCTTACTGTAATGTGAATTTTTCAAAAATCCTAGTTCAGACTCTCCGGAGAAATGTTTACTTTATACAAGCAAAATATTATTATTATAGAAGCATTTTTCATAAAAGAGAAGAACGTTTTTTGAAAAAAGGTTACTCTAAGTTAATTTTTTGCTCAAATATTGTATTTAAATAATCTTTTTTGTCATAATATCCTTAAAACAAATTTGTTCATGTATTCTAATCTAAGTGGCCCTAAATATCATGAAAATTATCCATTTATGCGCTTTTTTAAAATCGTGGATCCGAACGTAGTTGGATTCTTAAAACGAATGTTTTACGTATGAAAAGATTCTTACTGAATAAATGACTTTTCTTGAACCGATCCCTGTACGTTATTGATTTCAGTCAGCACAGGGACGCATCTTTCAAACCAAAGATCAAGGCATCCCATGTCAGGGAAATCTACCCACCTGTCCCGAGGTGGCTTTTCAGAGGATCCTTGAACCCATCTCCAAATGAAGTAGTCACAGCTTTTTCGAAATCAATCACCATTTAATACAGCCTTCCAAAGGCCCGTAATGCTGGGCCCTTGGGCACAGTCGTGATCCCGTGTGCCGTACGACCCGTTTCTTTTACCTCTGGAGAAATCATCGCTCCTTTTATCTTTTCGGAGAATCGCTTTTATTGCCGAGCAACAAAATTGTTTTTAGGTGAAAAGAATGGAGAATTAAAATCATATATCTTACTTCAATCGAGGTATTAACTTTTTTATTTGGTGCCTCGAGTAATGTTGATGTTTTTTGTGATGTAATTTTCGAATTATATTGTTGTATTCTTTGTGTAAGACATCTTTAACATTCTGGAGGTATAGTAGAAGAGAAAGGTGTGCTCAGTAATCTCTTGAATACGTCTGTTGAACTATTTGGTAAGAGTCGATTATGAGTACATAATCACAAAACAATTTGAAGTGAATTGGGCGAGAAGTAAGATATTTAAAAATGTGATCAAGACGTTTTAAAAGTGTAATTGCTACATCACGAAGGAATAATGTGGCAAATCAAATTAAATTGTAAGAAATTTTTCCGTAATAAGTAAAATATAATAAATAATCAAAATAATTGATTAATTTATAAGGTGTTAAAAGACGTAAAAAACGTTGTTTTCACTTATATTTTTTGGAAAAATAACTGGAAAAATAATATGATTTCGTGTATTAATTAGATTTTTATTTATAATATATATAATGCATGCCAGAAATTTCTCAAGTTTTATTATTCTAGTTAGCTCATACAAGTTTAATTACTGTAAAACTAGAACCAGAGCTAAAATCGATTGAGTAAAATGTTTTTTTTTTAGCCGAGAATACGTTTACGTTTAATACTCTTCATTGTATCGAAAAATTCGGAATGTTATCCATGCAAAGATGATTCCTTTTTAAATTTTCGAAATATTAGGTCAAAAATTATACACTTAATGAATATTACTTAAAATAAATATGAAAAAGACATACTTCCAAATAGTTTTTTCAAGTAACATTCTAAAATTAGGCTTAGTATATTACTACTTAGCAAAAATTTAAAAAAATATACAAATAGCACAGCTTGTTCAATTAATAAAGAATGCGTCTTTTTTTAGAGTAATTTTTGAAATAAGGGGAATACACAAAACTCAGCATTACATACGATGTCTCACAATATTTTTTTTCTGTATTCACTTCGGCTGTGGTTCAACTACTGCATCAAATGATTTGGAGACAACTCATCTCCTCTTTTTCTGAGAAAAAAGTTTGCGGTATTAAATATGTACCGGTCGAGTTTTAAAGCTTAAAGGGATTCTGTAGCTCTCTTATTTTATTACAAAGAGAAGTTCTAAATCATGCTTTTGAAAAAGAAAAATGTAACAGCAACAGAAAACTTTCCCCTTGTTGCCAACATTTTTTTAAAAAATGGAATTATGTATGCCGTATATTTCTGAATATAAGCCTATCCATGTATAAACTGATAGATCAATTTTTCCTCAAAAATTTATCCAAAATTTGAAACTCGTACATAAGCCTAATTTTAAAAAACTGTAACTTTCAAACATGTTGCCAAAAATGTTATTAAACCGATCTAATTACTGTGAAGTAAAACGCAACTGATTTGTTATCTTGTTCTCTGTCTGTGCCAGTCATAATTTACGAGCATTATTTATTTATTTATTATTTTATTTTTATTTTTTACTTTTTTTGCTTGAAAAATGAGCTGGAAGAGAAATTCGTAGGCAACACGTGATCGTCGACCTATGTTTCATTCCCTAAAAGAAGCTCTAGCTGTAGCTTCAATAATGATTTGTATGCATTCAATCATTCCCAAGGAATGGATTTGTATTTTACTAACTATTCGGAAACTCGAATTCAGACACATTTGGAGAATTTATGTGACTTTTTTCTCCTTTTGTGACGGACCTATTCGCGTACTTTCATTGATCCTCTTGGGAAATCTTTGGTCTATCAAGTCGTGTGTATTCTCAGCCAACCCTCTGAAGAAGAAACCCCTGATTATTCAAATTAGGTCTACTATGTATAGTCTAGGTGTTTTAGCTAGAGAGAGAAAGTGAGAAGATAGGATAGATTGCTACCGATCAGGTATTATTCAAGTTTATAGTCTTATTTCAAATATTGGATAGATGGAAGAATTAGTGAAGCTTGATCATTAGAGTTTAATTAGTGTTCAGATAATTAAGATGGTAGATTTGATCCTGCAATAAGAGGATCGATAATTATAATCTTTGCCCAATTCGTACATCTCACTGTTAAACCACATATTGCTTAGAATTGAGGACATCTCTT